ACTGCTGTTGATGATTATGGTGTTTTGAACAGATGCGGTCACCTTGTAGGAGCACGTTAAGGACACCTTTCTTGGAACTTATCTGCAATCCGTGTGTCCCAAGTCAATCCAGGTAGTGATCACACTAGCGTAGTTGAAAAACACAGCATTTGCCTACATCGAATATGAAATGAGGTATTTGAAATCGTGTTAAGCTGGCGCTGGAGCTTTTCGTGTTTGTCAGTTCCTCTGATTGCTCGCCCCATCTTGATATCATTAGCGAAGAATAGAAATCGGAAGTAACTGCCCTCGCTAAATCTTTTGTGAATTCCAATAATTCACGAGGGCGTAACATGGTACCTTGTGGTACGCCGCATTCCACATATATTGCGTAGGGCAGGGATTCTCGAACTCCCAGAAATGGGTCGCCTATGCCATAGCAATAAAGCGTAGGAAGTAGCGTTTAGTGCTCTTATTGAGCAACCACTTTTGAGAAGTTTTGGTAGATGACATCGAGACGTGCTCCACCATCCTCTGCTTCAGTCCAGCTATTGCGTGCCATTTACAGGTTGGTAGTACATGAATGCTCTTGATGGAAGCTATGTTGATCCGGGGCTATAATGCTATGATTTTCCAGCTGCTTCAACAGTACATCTGCGATGATTGATTCCGTAAGTTTGGAAAGTACAGGAAGCAGCCTTATCGGAAGGTAATCGGTTGGATCAGTACGACTACCTCCATTATGAATAGGAATAATGACCCCTCGCTTCCATTTTGATGGAATTTGGTTTCCCTCCAGACAGCCCTCATAGAAGATAGCCAGAGGCTCTGCTAGATCACTGGCTATTGCCTGCAGAGTCTTCGATCGAATGTTCTCGACACCAGGAGAGCTATGGGTACGCAAGCACAACGGTTGCTTCAACACAACTACTGCAGTAAAGGTACTATTGGATAAACTTGACGGTGGAGCAGTAGCAACAGGGCCTATTACCCTCTGGGACGTATGTGAATGATGGAACCGTAAGAGATCTGCTGCTTCCGCTGCTGATCGAATGTGCCCCTCAGTCGTGACCAGTGCTGAAATTCCGCGTTGCCCTGTATTAAGACCATTTCCATACCTGCATAAGAGTTTGCGGTCTGTGCAGAATCATTTAATTAACAACTGCTGATGCGTCACCATCTCCTCGCGGATATCAATTGTACGCAAATTTGGGCTGTGCCACATATGTAGTCCAGATTTCCTCATTTGGGGAGCTCTTGTGAGACGTCCATGCCAAGTCCCTCAAAGACATACATTTAGGCGTTTTGCTTCTTAGAAATCGATCGGTTCTTTTTGCAGAGAATAGGAGTTTTGCCATAATGCGTCCAGAATCAGTGTGCTAATCGCCTTTGCAAATGTCTATCAGACACCTACTGGGAGTATTCAGCTGAGAAGTCCAATACGTCTCCTTAACAAGAGCGGATAACAAGTTAAAGTTCCTGCCAGTACATGGCTTATCATTTACTTCTTCACGATGTACTGCATAGCATATCTAGTCCAACATGGTCACTGTGACCCAATGTTGTGCTCGTAATCACTCGGCTGAACATGAGTTCTTTGTTGGTTAGCACCTGATCAATTATCGATGGCTTGTTAGCAGTTCGATATCTGGCGGGAGAGGTTACGTGGTTCTACGGAGAGTAGCTTGATTGTAGCTCTTGCAAACATGCTGCTCACAGGTTGAAGGAATTTCCAGGGCGTGCAAATTAAAATCTCCAGCGACGAGAAGGTGGCTGCATGAGTTGTTCACCGCAAGCTTCTAAATCTGATTCGGTTTATAGTCCAATTCATACGCAGAGTTTGGTGGACTGTAAATTACGGCTACACGACATGCGTACTTGCTACGCAGCCACAGCCAGCACCAAAGCGAATTCGGGGCGCGGACTGCTGGGTGGTCTATAAATTCACATCCGTGGTTAGCTTTGCAATAAGGAATTAAACCACCACCCATTCTAGTTCTACAGTTCCGAGTCAGCGACATACTGGGTACCTTGATCTCAGAATCAGTTATCACATGCTTTAGATATGTCACTGTAATCATGACGAGATGTTGCTGTTGTGAGGCGTAGCGCTCCGTAAGTTCGGCTAATTTGGTACGAGGACCTTGTGTTCTAGTGGACAAACAGAATAGTGTTTTGGATGGTAGGAGTGCGTTGGTTGATATGAAATTCGAGTTTTATTTCAAGACGACGGTTAGATGGCCGTCTGCTAACCGAGTTTTTGCTTGGTTTGCATCATTGGTTTTCGTATTTCAGTCGGGCTGTATGGCATCACAGAGTGTTCCGAATCAGGATGTTCTCACGTGCTTCGCTCCGTCCTATCGGGTGCCGTGGGTACTGTTGTATTGGTTTCCCAGCAGGACTGTGGAAACAAAGCATGTACTGAGGTTGCATTTCATTCGAATGGCTGACCAATCGTGGACATGCGCCTGCTCCCATCAACCGGATCTCATTTGGCAACCTAGAGCGAAGCTTCAGCCATTCAACCAATAAGACTGGTGTCATTCCTTTGGGGTGTTGCACCACATTCATTACTCTTGAACCGCAACCCTTGTAGTTATGTGATTAAGTAATTTTCGTCAACGATGTAGCGCCAACGTCTTCCAAAGAGAGTGCTTCGCAATAGTAGCTCCACGGCTCTCGTTCATGTGTTTGCGCTTGGTGATCAGGAGAATCCAGGAGCTCGGTTGTACCATGGTTTTCTCGATATCGTTTTTTGGGATGGCCGCCTTGGTTGTCAACTTCCTTTGGGTGGTCTTTCCAAGAAAGATTGGGTAATATGCCCACTCTGCTTGAGGAGCTGTAGAGACCAACTGCAGAGAGTAGTATGGCCTCTGTTTTATTTACTTAGTTCAGCGTTACTCGAATAATTGGAGGTTCACCATAGCGCAATGAAGTTGGGTGACGCGTTATGCATCTCAACATAGTGGGTTCAGCCTGAATACCACTCGCGTCACACATGGAATTCCGCTGATTGCGATCATCTAGCAACTTGGCCGTTATTGTGCAAGATTTGAATTACGGAACCTTAGTGCACATGAGAGTTAACGCACCGTAGTTCTGTTTAGTGAATGTCGGTTTGAGCGTTGCTGCTGTTTAGATTGCGCCACTGGATTTGACTGGAAAAGCTGCGTCGCGTTGCTTGTGTCCTATACAGCAAATTGACCTACAGTTGTCACTGTCCGTGTTTTTGTCGAGGTGATCGATGCGTACGTTACCTGTTATATCTATGTACTGGGTTGCCTCTGGCAATAGCAGTCACGTCGAATGTGACTTGAGGGTTTCGGATGTGACAGAGTGCAAGCTGAGCGCAGTTAGTTTGACAATTAAGTGAAGATCACTGATTCTACTTTGGGAATTGCAACCACGGTCAACATATAACGGATCGAAAATGCGCTAAACCGGTGCCCGTTTACCTACCTACGAACGTTGAATGCTGCCGATGCAACATGTCAATACGGACTACTAAGGAACTGTTTATGATTTGAGTCCAAAGGAGGAACGTGTATTGTAGCTGCAGCTGACGAAATTATTGTGGTGCGGCAACTGCTGTCATTTAGGCTGAGGATTGTAGAAGGGGCCTTAGCAGCGGGGGTCGGAAGAGAAGACATCAGCAATAGCATATCTTCACTTATACGCCCTGAAATATTTAACAGCCAAGGCGACTCTTTCTGGAAGTACGCAGTGACGATGCAAGATATGGTTGGAATTTGATGATAAATTTTTTATTCATGGTTTTATTTGACTTGGGATACTATCCAAGTAGCCTATAGCTAGGCAGGGAAATTATTAGGGCTCTCAGTCATAGCTTTTGGCCCGAAAGCTTGAACACAAAGAATCGGTACGACAGCAACCATCCGGTATTATTAACGAACGCCTTGTCATTTCTGGGTACAAACATGGAGGGCCAGGAGAGTGAATCCATCTGATCTCTAGCCAATGACGAATCTGGAAAGGGCGACCCTTAATTAGCCCGAGGCATCACATAGTATAACTCAATGGACCCTAATACAACGTTCGCACCACGTTGTGCTCCAGGTTTGTTGAGGAAGGAAGGTTGTTATTCTCTCTACTGGGACGAAATATTTACAATCATTTGATTAACGCACATAATCAGGAACTCTTAATCTTTTACCGTCATTCGCACCGTATTAGATTCACATTACCTGGTGTTTCTGTTTCCTAAAGTCCTCAACAAGTTGTAACTCAACGGTAAGCATTTTTGGGTTTTGGAGTAGTTACCGTATATTCCTCCTGGCATGCGCTGCTTCGGTTTGCTTGATTACGGTGAACTGACGCCCCTTTTGTTGAGTTTTTGGACGCGGGTGAGAGTGTGAATACCCAGTCGTCTAGCTCGTTTAACGCTGTGATTGCTACTGGGCAATTATCTTTTGCAGAAGAAGAAACGTTATCTCATACTTGCATGCCTGCATGGCTTACAGTGCATCTGTGCACTTTATTTCATTTGATCTCGCATTCATCGGCCTAATGGTCTTTCCTGATATGCACATTTAACTAGGAATTGTTTACTCATAATAGCCGAACCTGTATTTACTGGAAATCATCACTCTACTTGCAGTGGTCATCACGTTTGCAGTCCAGTTGACTGCGGTTGCATGATCTGCTTTGTTGCATAGCTTAGATAATTGTGCCGTGAACTGATAATACTCATTCTTTTCCTCCATGGCCTACAGTCGGTCATTTCGGCTCATCCAATTTTTCCTAGGCTGTTGTAGATGCCTATATACATTTGCGGTGAGTAGATTTTTAAACTATACCCGACCACCGCAAAGAACCACGATTTGCTGAATTTCATTGGTCTCCCATATTTCGGCCAATTTTACTTATCCACTCAGTCGAGTTTTGTTGCTTGGACGCATTCGGCGTCCAGTAGCTGACGCATAATGATAACCACAGGATGGTGCTAGTCTGTTCTTCACTGCTAATCTCAACAGTTAACGCAAAATCCTTATGCTGTTTAGCCCGTGCTGAACGACGGTGCGGAAATACACGCGGTACACAATGGAAGTATTACAGAGGCTACCTCATCTCTTCAAACCGGCGGAGTGGTCGGTTCACGTGCATTGGGTAAGTCTCTATTGTTTAGGTCCAAGGTTTTCAGTCAGAGTGCGTGCATGCCATCAGACGATGTTTCGAATGTTGTGGAAGTGCAGTCTAAACTTTTGAGCATTCCTGTAAAGACCTATTCCGGACACTGAAAAACTCTACATACAGATAATAGATTATCTCGCTCGCTTGGGTGCTATTATTGGTGCATGACGGCAAGTTAGTGCTCGTGCAAACGGAGACATTTTTGTATGCTGCGTAACACGTGCGAATCACGGGGCAAATCGGAAGTCAAATCGAGATGCAGACTACAGTACCAGTGAGGGGTTATCAAGGCTCAATGATGCGCATCCGGTGCAGAATCGATGGGGAGTGCAGACAGAGTAAGTAGGTTATACACAGTCCACCAATGGCCACGAATATGCGTAATCGAGACAGACACAACTATGAGTCATTCCGCTGAGATCAGGGGCGCAGCAGAACATCGTGGTTGCCACGACCGTATTTAGAAACGAGCGTTCAAGGTCGTGGCGAAGCAAGACACAGACGGCACCAGTGCAAACGGATGAAACATAGACAGGTTAAAATTGGAGGTTAAAATTGGGACTACGCAGATGTCTGAAGCATCTAGGCTTGCGGAGTTTCGATGCCTTAATAACTGTGCCAATGTGGGGTGGAGGTATTACGTGCACACACACCCACACACGCACGCACGGACACTCGCTAAGGATGTGAATCCAGAGGCCAGATGGTTCATTTGGGACGTGGAGCGCAATACTGTCGCTGACGGAAAGCTGTCCAGATTGGAGCTGGCACACGGAGCCTGAGAAAATCAGCCAGACTCAACCACATAACGAAATGACCGTAACGACTGGTTTCAATGTCCCAAAATCGTTAAGCTTTGGTAACCTCAAATTCGCGCATTGGAAACTCAGATGGTCCCAACCCAAGAACTGCCGCCAATCAAGAGAGACCGAACTCTTCGATCGATTTCCCGCAAACATTAATATCTGGCCAGACGATAAAGCTAAACCGGTAGCGTGAGTCCAGCTTGTAAGAAAAGTTTTCACATGCTTAATAATGTGAACTTAACAGAAGCTTAAGACATCGTAATGCGTGATATCGCTGTGTAGATTTTCAAAGGAGGTAACGCCTCTGACATCTACGCACAAGATACCAGCAGCAAAAATGGCAACCACTGCAGTATTAGTAGATATGGTTAACTACTGGCTACATGAATAGTTGCCGGGATCCATTTCCGAAACCTAAGCCACTTCGTTTGCGGTAATTTGTCACACCTATGGACACAAGAAATCCAACGTTGCTATTACTTATGAGAAGCTTCCAGATAAAAACCCATGTATTCCGACTCTACAGAAAGACTGACAGTACGGTTGACTTCTATGCCAGTAACTTATTCGCACTGATCCGATAATGGCTGTACCAAGCAGTGTCTAGGTTGCTAGAAACCGCGCATGCTCAGTATACACGACTCCAATACTCACAGGCTATACGCAAGCCTGCTGACGGTGTTCAGCTAAAATAGGTTAACTTGTTCTGTGACACTGTTGAAGCAACTCTGGTTAGAGTGAAGCAGACAAACGTCGCACAACAGCTAGCAACATGTGTTGAAGGTATACGAGATTAAATATATCGGATTATAATACGCAACTTGACATGCATCAAAGCGAGTGCTGCCGCATCATACGTTGCAGCTGGCCTTTTCTAAGAGCAAAAGTCTCCCACTACACTTTTTACAGGCAACTTTACGCATAGCGTTAAAAGTTAGCTTGTCAAAATATCAAAATAACGTGTTGTACATTCAAGTTCACGTGGGCATCAATTCATTCTCTATCTGAGGGGTTACATACACGGACTATCAGTGACACTCTCATTGGTCATGGGCCATTAGCTAAGGGGACTCCCTGGATGTAAGCACAGGGCTAAATGTAGGCGTCTATGGGGGACGGGTATGCTCCCGACTAGGTTGACACATTGGTGTTAACGGAAGGCAGACAATGAGGAGTGTGCCAGTGCTAGAGGTCACCAACATTGCGCCTGACTGTAGCTGGTCAACCTACGATGAGGTGTTTGAAAATTCTCCCACAACACCCCTTTAACAGACCTTTTATCCACTGGTTCGTATTCTGACCAGGTCGGTAGCCGGTGTCCCTGTGCCCAATTTCCAGTGCTTGTCGAGCAGTCCGTAACGTATCGAGCGCACAATATCTGATCGGTCCAAGGTTTACAGTACCAGTGGCACACTTAGGATCCGGGTTAGTAGTGCCTCTGATCGAAACAATATGGCGCATAAAGATAATAATAATAATAATAATAATAATAATAATAATAATAATGGGCATATTTCTCATCAAGTGAAAACCTGTGACAATATTTGGCACAGAACATACACGCGTAAGTGATATCATGCTCTTACAAGAGCAATATCAAGTTATCTTCCTATATTCGTTTGCATTTGACAAGCTATTTGCGCCATATGTTTGTCTTATGCGATGGTAGGAGGCAATTTCGCAGTTTGAGTATGTTGTAGACACTGAGAACTAAGTACATTGAGTGAATTGGTGATATTACACCCACTAGACGTTAGCTGGGCTTACATTGAATGGATGTGTAAATGATCTTCCCCACGAAAAAATGACATAATGGTGTTCAAATAGTGGTAGCTACCCAACTTACTGCGGAAGGATTATACAGTCGCACACGACCTGATGGTGAGTGGCAACCGCATCCACAGCGAAGCATATAGGGTGAGACGAAAGTTAGACCGCAAATTTGTCCTGCATCATGGTATAATCAGAGTAAGTTCTTTGTTACTTAGGTCTTGCGAGTAATTGTGCTTCAATGTTAAGGTGAATCGACTACATTGGGTATTGCCATGAACCAACTTGTGCAACAGTCCCCAGTTTTCCTTTAGTCTTCGCAGCCAAAGCGGATCGATATGGAGTTTCTGGCATCGCTGCCGAGAGTTTAGGATAGAATTATTTCCCAGTACGTGCTTAGTAAATGACCGTTGAAGGCTTTCTGTCGATATTCTGCCTGGTTTCTTCATATTGTCTCAGATTATGCTGCGGTACTCCAGGATGGGACGATTAAGGATTATAACTAGTTTAACTGCACCTGTGATTGTTTGCATAGTATGAGAGACGTTAGCGAAGGATTGTATGGATCGTGTTACATGGCACTCAATCTGTTGTAAGAACATAAAGGCACATTAATGCTTGATTCCAACGCCACGGGTAGACCGCTGTACACAGATGTGTTCGCTGTTACGTGGGATAGATACTTCGGGTGTCAAGTGACCGCGACATATGATACTCAACTTTTGTGTTTAAAACCTCATCAACCACCAGTCGCACCAAGTCCCAAACGAATGAATGTATTCTTGTATGAGTGGTAGTACATTCGGAAGCTCAACTCCTCGGTAATTGTGGACAAATATTATATCATCAACAAACAAATCCGGCACGCCATCTTTGTTAGCCGAACTGCTATCATTGATACAAAAAGCGAACTTAATGTAGGAAGCGGAAATTCTTGTTTAACCCCGTCGGTAATTGGAGGTAAGGAAGAGCACCAGTCGCCTAAGGTGACTATTTTAGCGGGACCGTTCATGTATGATCATAGCTAACCCATTAATGTGTTGCGGATTTCAAAGAAATTTATCTGATTCGTCAACCGTTTGTGAGGCACCCAATCGAATATTTTCTGCATGTGCAAGCATAGAATTAATATGACATAGTTTGCGTCAATGGTGTCCGGTGTGTAGTTCAGGTAATGCAGCAACCAAAATGTGCACGAACGTTAGTCAAGGAGACCATTTTAGGACTTGTCTATCAGCTCCAGTGAGTTGATGAAGTTCCTCACACTTTTTTTTACCAATTTCACGAATAATTCGGCTATTATGGGAGTGTTTTGGTTTGGCCTGTTATTGTCAACTTACTGTTTTGCGCAGCCCGTGTGGCCTGGGCTGATGAATGAAGTTTTCCATTGATCTGCAAACTACTTGGATCCCAGTGAAACGGCAAACATATACAAAAGGTGCAGTGATACATCAGGCATACCCAGTTTCATGGTGGTAGGGAGGATGCCATCGGCTTCCAGAATTGAGAACGGTTGAATAGAATGTGTCGCTTGCCAGATGTTGCGGAGAGCAGTAACCCTTAAAATGGAGCCTTAGTGTAATTTGTTGGGCGGCGCCTGGGATACTAGTCGGTAAGCAATGACATGTAATACGTGTCAAATATGACAGTATAGAAGTCGGAGGCGACTGAACCCAACGTATATTGTGCAAGCTACAAGAATAGGAAGCGAATCAGACAGAGCGAGAAAAGTGCAGCGAGGTACTCACCAAAACGGTTTGTGTCAACGGACGTGCAGTCAGTAAAACAAATGGACGTTTCGAAGGTTAAAACAACCGTAAAATCCAATGTTTCAAAATACTGAAAGAGCTTGTTTCTGCCGCACTACAGATTACAGCGTTAATGTCTAGGGTCATGCAGGTGAGGAAAAGAAAGAGCTAAATGCGCCTGGATGTTGTCCACCAGTTCAGTGATCAATGAAAAGCGTTTGTCGGTTCTTCGACGGAGAAATCTGACCAGCTATTTTGCTTTGCATGTCATTCATAGGGTTAATTGATCTTTATGTGTTCTCCCCATCAACTGTAAGTGCTCATTTTCAGAGATGAGTCGGTGCACCTGTGGAATCATTGTAAAATATCCTGTCCTTTTCTTAGCGCGCGATCGGTTTTTTGGATTTCCGACTCATCGAACGTTCGGCTGCATCTTTTTAAACGTCACTAATTCCTTTTTTGTGCAGCAACGAGGGTTATGGCTTGCAGAAACTAATGATAGAAGTGCTCCACGGCTGTGCATGCATTGTTGGAGGGAAAAAGGCGTCCCAATCGCAAGAGCAGATTACTTGACGAAAAGATTTCCAGTTAATATTGCGGCTGGTGTAGTAGGAAGGAGGTACTTGTTTGGTGGCCATTTTAACGGTGATGT